CTGGCCAATTCTTCGTTGATCATGGCCTGTGCTTGCAAGAATGCCCCATCCTTTTCAGTCCCGATAGCTTGATCCAATTTACTTTGTAGCTGCCTAGTATTGACGTTAACCATTCGCGGGAAGCTTTTCTGAACGGGAAGACTCCTTCGGTTAAATTCTTGTCTTTTTCTTTCTTCCTCCTCCTTCTTGAGTCTCTTGTCTCTCTCGGCAGCGTCTTCCATCAAATCCCCTTTGGCGTTCTCGTCTTCTTCTTCTGCATCCTCAGGCAACATTATCGAGAAATCATTCTGGGGGGCTGGTAATGACTCAAAGGCGTTTGAGAGGGCTTGCTTTTCTGCTCGAGCTGCGGACTTGACACTTCGCATTGGCGTTTGGTCAAACGATGGCCCGACAGTCATGGGTGTATTAATACCCAAGGCATCAGGAAGTCGGAATGGAGTGGGCTGCGCAGCATTTGCATCTCCTCCGTTCGCTCGCGGAGTGGCCAAAGGATTTGGCGTGAATGCGGTCTGAGCACGTGGTGTCACTCCTTGGAAACCTGTACCCTCGGGCAGATGAAGAGGTGTGTTTTCTTCACCCAAAAGAGGTGTTTGTGCAGCGACGAGTGTGCGGAGGTTTCTCGCTTCCGCCATAACCATATCTTCCTGCGGACCAGTACGCGGCGTGCGTGCCATGCGTGCATCTTTAAGGCCATCATATTCTCCTAGAAGACCACTGGTCATATCTCCAACGCCACCCTCCTCGACCATCGCCCTGTAATGAAAAAAAAAAAAGATTAGAAATAGCGTGTCAATAACGCCTAAATCCACTGACCTGGCTTCTTTCCCTCCTAATCCAATCTTGACGATTTCTTCCAGCTCCTTCTCTCCAACTTGAGCTTGTGGCAAGACCAGTTTCCTCCTCCGGGAGATTTGCTCTGCTTCTTTCAATTTCTGAATCTGGGCATCTCGTGCAGGCAAAAATTTGGTCTAAAGACACGAGACATGAAAATTGAGCAAATGAACTTCGTTAAACTGCTCCGAGGAACTTACCTCGTGTCCAGACTTTTTTGCGTCCTCGTTTCTCTTTTGTTTTTTCTTTCTCTCCGCCTCTTCATCTTCGGGCTTTCTTTTGTTCTCCAATCGACGAAGGGTCTGCCCTACGGGAGCCGAAGAGGCTTTCGCTTGCTCTTCTGATGTATCATAGAATCCTAATGCTGGTTTGTGCTCGAATGGAATGTCCGCATTATAGTCCATCCCTTTCTGCTTCACTCTGAAGCGAGACCTGCAGAGGATTGTCAATTGATGAAATCGAAGCCCTCAAATAAGAGATACTAACACGATACCAGCAGCCTTAAGTTCTCTTTTCTTTTGCAGAACGGCTAGGCGCCTCGCTTCTTCTAGTTGGCGTTCCCTAGCCTTTCTTTTTGCCTTTTTACCTTGTGTATTTGCCAAACGGGCGCGTGCTTCAGACAACATCTCCTTTTCTGAAAACTAGTCAGATAAGCCTCTAACGATTTCGGTCTACATACCATCCTCGTCCATATCGATAGGATCAGGCCTTGCTGGCTTTGTCTCAGGATCCGGGTCAATTTCTCCTGGTCTTAATCGCCTAATGTCATCTGCAGATGGCCCAGCTTCTCCACCTATGGAAAATTTAGATATGCTACTCCATACCGACTAACATGTAAACCTACCGGGCCCAGCCAGCCCCAGCTCCTCATTTTCTTTCATCTCAGCCTCATCTAATAGCTTTTGATATCGCTCGAGGCATTGAGTGGCAGTTCTGCCGACAATGGGCGCAATAGTGCGCCATTGCGTGGGCATGAGTTTTGCGAGATGCAGCAGTTTCTCGTCCTCAGCCTAGGCGTAAAAAGTATTCAAAAGATGTTTCTTTGGGAATAAAGGCGAGAGATACGAACCTTACTCCATTCTGTCTTCTTGATACTCGGGTCCAACCATTCGTACCAGCGTGCTTTACATTGTTTGGGCGTTTTCCGGACCAGAAGGGAGGAAATACGCGCCCATTGATTCTTTCCGTATTTTGCGATGGCAGCTTTCAGGACTTCATCTTCCGTATTCTTCCAAACACCTGCTCGCGTTTCTTGTCAGCCATTTAGAATGTCGGACCCGAGGGATATACTTGCCTCCTGCAATTTTTGGTCACTAGAGTTAGCAATTCGTCTAGATTCCACACAAGGTTAGAGCCCACCTTTGATGATTATGCGAACCATATTTGTACGCTACTGCTTCCAGATGTTTTACAATAATTATATCGAGAATCGTGTCTGAAACCAGTCCAAGACGTGATTTAGTCAAAAATGGAGCGTTTAGAGCCTTCCAACGAGCTCTGGAAGATGGCGCGGTGTCGACGAGGTCCAAGTTGGTGGGCAAGGCGAAACCACTTGAACTGACCCCTTGCTTGCCTCTATCGTCGGAGTCCGACAAACCGGTCCATCTCCTCGTTCAAAGCTGGTAAAGCTGGTTGAGGAATCAGTGTGATGGCCACCAGTCCTCTTCATCTTAGTCTTCCCAACTATGTCCAGGGTGGCTCTCAGTCGCCTATTGATATCTCACCGGTCGCATCCACTACGAATGTTTCAACGGCCCAAGTACTACTAGAGCGCTCTGATATCGACAAATCGTTGAAATCTTTGGAGAATCTGGTCTCCTTACTGTATGATTATGCCCAACTATGGCAGAACCTTGTGACTATGGACAAGAAATTGGCAAGTAGAAGGCTGTTATAGCTGATAGAAGCCAGGTAGCTAATACAACAACCGGTTAGGTCAAGGCTTTCAAAGATGCAGGAAGCCTGAAGCGAAGTACTACTGGAGTTGATGGTCTGGAGTGGCCAGGTGGGTGGCCGGCCTCCACAAATGAACTGAGACGGAAACTAATGACCTCGCATAGCACAAGTTTTCATGAATTCTTCTTCCATTTTTGATGCTGTGAGCGAGGTCGATTCCAAATATTCTAAACTCGTTGAGCGGGAATATGAGAATTGCACTCAAGAACTGAAGAAATGGCTCAAGAAACTGAAGGTGAGGTTGTATTATTATTTTCATGACAATAATCTGACCTCCTGCTCAGAAAGAGGATAAAGCCCTGGACGAGTACACCGCTGCAGCGAATGCCAAGATCAAGGCAGCAGGTATGACCCTAATATCCGTCAACACACTCAATTTAACTTAACACAAAATACAGGTATGGCTTACGAGAAGAAGTCGAAGAAGGGAATAACTTCTAGCCCTTCGGTGCCATCCCTCGATTCCTATTCCACCCTTCTATCCAGTCTCACCAGTGCCGTCAACAATGCCAAACACCAGCACATGCTATTCACATCCTCTAAACATGTTTCTGTCCTTTACACCACTTCTGGGAGTATAGGAAGAATAGCTGATGCACAATGGATGAAGACCTGCGAGCTCTTGAGAAAAGCCGCCATAAACGTAGGGCCATTAGGAGAGGGAAGAAGCTATGTGGAGTCTGGGTGGAGAGGGGGGCCTGTAGTTGATCTGCCATTGAATTTACCGGTGAACGCGGCGACTGGCAGCACCAATGGTTTAGAAGCACAACAAATCACCACCAACGAGAATGCTCCTAACCCTTTGATCAACTCTCCACCTATTCCAACACTCGGAAGACCGATTATGCCCACCGGATCAAATCAAGCATCGTCGTCGGCGGCACCTACATTGAGATCAGCGCCCTCTTTATCCACAAATTACTTGGACGAAGTGACACAGGAGTTGAGGACTTCTTTAGCGTTACCCGAACCTTCGAAGACGGAAAACAAGGGGACGATTCAGCGTCAGAAGAATTCAGATACCAAAGGGAATGACATGAAACAACCCGAGGAGCCCCTGAATCTTCGCACAGAAACGAAACCAGAAACCAGCACGAAGGAGATCAAGCCAACTCAAATGGATGAGACATCCTCCCCAACTGTACCTTCATCGAAACATACTACGCACAGTACTACCACCACCGATACCAACATCACCAATAGTAGCAGGACCACTCAATCGACCAACACGTCCGCTAAAGATACAGCGACTATATCGTCCTATGCTTCAAAGGCATCAATTGAGGAGAAAACAACGCAGACACCCCTTCCTCCTCCTCCTGAAGAGGCTGCAGTATTCGAACCTCGCCATACTCTCGCTAGAACGCCATTAAATACAGAGCCTAATGGCAAAGGAGAGAAACCCCACACTCCCAAAGATTCCATCGTTACTCCCATCCCTGCGCCTGATAGACAAACCCCTGCCAGTACTAAAGATTCAGAAGTAGTCACAAACTACTTCCCTCTTGTCAATAAAGATAAAATTGACAAGAATGAGCCTCAAGGATCAACCTCCGGTCCCAAACAACCTATTAGATCTAATTCGTCCTATCCACAGGGAGCTGTCCCCCAATCACCCCCTCAGCTTCCGCATGCCCCAATGTCTTTTGCTGGTAGACCTGTCGGGAGGACATTGAGCATAGATTCAACCACGAGTAATGGTAGTCATGTTGCCGCTATGCGTGATCGATATAATACAGGCTCTCCACCTTTGCCTAACCCTCACGTTTCCATGCGCCCCGGAGAAATATATATTCCACGGGATCGCGAAGTTGGGCGGGTATCGGACATGGCCAGTCGTTTCACGCCTATTGACGGTCCTCCTCGAGTTCCTACAAGTCAACCCAGGGAGAACAGAAACTCTCGCCCTTCTTATGCCCCTCAGTCTCCATCTGCACGATGGGCAGCTGATGCACCATCACCCTTAGGTGATACCTTACCAATCAGAACGCCTATATCTCGCGACTCTATTGACGAATTTGGGACAAGCTTTTCTTCAATGCCGGTCAAGGCTAGAGACACAATGCCGAACCCTGACAGGCGTCATCAGCCAATGTCTGGTGCCCAATCTCAAACAATGGGACCTGCTGGCGCTCTTTCAACCCCCTATAATTTACAAATAACTGAGCTCGAGCTGCGACAGCGAGAAATGGAGTTGGAGATACAACGCCAACGATTACAATTAGCCAAGGATCGTGAGGCGCTATTCAATCAAGAAAGAGCCTATCAAGAGGATACAGACCACAGTGATTATGCTAATGGACGAGAAGTACGAGGGCATGCCAGATACAGCAGAAATATTGATGCTAATCGTGGTGGTTATGGTGATTTCTATGAGAGAACAGGCCCTAGGGACGGATATGACACACCTAATAGGGATCCCTATGGTGTCACAAATCAATACGGATACGAGCGAGAGAGGGGTCGATATGAACCAAATTTAGGGTCATCTCAGATGCCCGTTGAGGCGGTTGGGCCGAGCTCTTATCGGAATCGAGCTTACACGGCAGATTCAAGGCCATCAGACTCCCCTCAACGATCGCACGTGGATTTGTCGTCGGGCTTAGGAGTACTTGGGCTTGGCTTGCCTCCAGGAGCGGGTCCCTCGGCACGCCTTGGAACTCCTTCCAGGGAAAGCTTACCCTTGGCGGGCCCGTCTACACAAAACCTTGGTCCTCCTTCGATTCCAACCGCTGAGGGATCCTCAGCGACGAAAGGTCCATCTCCCAGGAGATCAGCAGACGCCATATCTCCCGGTCCTGGAACATCCAGTGCCAAAGGTAAGGAGAAGGAGAAGGGCGGAACTTGGATAGGAAGAGGGTTGAAGAGGTTTAGCATGCCACTAGATGCTAAACCAAACTCCTGAAATTGTTCGAGTTTTGACCGGATACTCCGGGTACATGGATCAACCCGGAATATCTACTACGATTTTACGCAACCACACAATCCATCAAAGTTGGTTTATTCGCCAAACAAGGAGAACGTTTGCTATAATCGGTTGTAGCAGGGACCTTTACAAACGTTCACGTTCGTAATTACCCATCGAACGGGTACAATGTAGTACCAACTTCCATAATGTACTTTCAAATCACGACCTTTTTATGCTTTGATTATGTAGACTGTCATCGTCTGCGGTTTGTTATGACAATTATTGGTTTCATAATCGATATCTATTAAAATCTTACAAGGTTGTGATAGAAAGTCTCATGGATGCCCTAATGAGATTTTAGGCGGGCTGTGGAAAAAAGACCGAGTAGACGAGGAGTACCATCGGAAGAACAGATGGGATCGGGGATTAGTGGGTGACACGAATTGCACGACAAAGAACACGAAAATTTGCCGAAAGAATAACCAAATACACGAGCCAGGGATGCAGTAGAGCTGATCGACCCATATAAACATCTGACCAAGGGAATAGTCCCTATCAAGGCTGAATATAAATTTCAGCCTTGCGGAGTCGGCTGCTGAATCGGCAGAGGATAGTTATCCTATTAAATAATGGTCAGAACAAGATCCGAAAGGCACATGTACGGCGCAGAGCGGGCCAGGATATCGGTGGGGTTGGATAAGGGGAGAGCCAGGTGGCTCGTGATCCAAATTCTAGGGAGAGGGTGGCGTTCTGACGGAAAAAGACCAACCTGCCGTGCCCGTTTCGCCGGCCGCTGAGACATGGATGCGTCAATTTCTGGTTTGGATTGCTTAGCCGGCAACGGGCCCCCTGGTGTCGGTAGATGGGCAGGGGTCGGTGCAATGGACATGGAACCTTGCTCTTGTTCCCTTTTTCGCTTTTTCTAAAGAAAGGAAGTTGAATATATTGCGGGCATTTATACCAAGGAATTTGGTTACCTTTTTCTTCTTGCTGTCCTCCTCTTCATTGTTGAGCTGTATAATTCAATAAATTCAATCAGCGTCCCTGTATTTCATCGTAAACGGACTACGGTCAAAACACATTACCTGAGGAATGTCAAATATTGTAAACGCCATTTCGGCCATAGCATCGTCGAGTAGCATGATCCTGCCCTCCTTGGGCGGTTGCATGACAAGGTCAGACAAGTAGCGATCCCGTTTGGTGTCGTGTTTGCCCGGGAGATCCTTGAATAATGTCTTGTAAAGATCTTTTTCCCTTTTCTTCTCCTTCTTTGCGGCCCCTGCGGCATCATCTCCATACGCATTTGTAGCTGTACCCACGCTTGGGGCCGCTCCTGCAGCACCGGCGAGGCTTGTGCCTGTAGCCGAGCTGGACCCTAATGCGTTGTTTCCGCTTGGTATGGACTGAAAGCCTGAAGGCTGTTGCTTATTATACCCAATGACTTGTCGCTGAAACGCATCAAATAGGCCAAAAGTTGTTATCAAGTCGTCCGTAAGACATATTGGTGCTGGCATTCTATAATTTTCATCTAATAAACCAAAGCGTGAAGCAAATATGTTAGCATTCCTCAGCCTGCAACAGTGCAAAGGGATATGGACCATGAGGTACGGAAAGGACAGGGGAGATCTCCATATTCTGGCTTTGATAATTCGTGTAATTGGGATTATTTGTGAATTTGTGACCTGTCGTAGAGGGCCCTGGTTGCGCATCCGAGTAAACCATGGTTGCGGCTGGAGACAAGATCCAAACCAACCCTTTGAACTCGACTCAGATTACTTCAATGGACTCCCGCAAAAGGAAGCGAGAACAATACGGAGAAAGCTCAAATTCTACGAAAAGAGTGCATCTCAGTCTCTTAAAGCGATATCAACGAGTCCGAGACATCCCTGAAATCCTTTCAGATGGAGCCAACTTGGAGACAGGCCATTTCTGTGGTACTCTCCAGGCTGTCGAATTTGAGAACCAAATATCTACCTTGAGGATACAGGATCGCTCTAGAATGGTTCTCATATGCGATATCCTTACCAAGTCGCCTATCTACTCGTTGAACATGAAAATTCAGAAACAGATACAAGTCGCAGTTCGCAATCCAAAAAAAATACCTATGAAAGAGCATAAAGCGTCACAATATGATCAAAAACTTCAGTTTGATGAATATCAATTCCTTTTAGGCGGTGAGCTCTTTGAGGACACGAAAGGTGAACCAAGGCTCCCAACACCGAGTATAGTGAAGATTTAACGGCCCATGATCGAAATAGGTAAAGGAAGTCCCGCGTGGCTACCTTCCGACATAGATTCGAGTGAATCCGAGCCTAGTGCCCCAGAAATCCCTCAGCACGACGAACATATTACTCGTTCCCAACCAAATCAAGCCATTAAAGGTGGTAATATAGAAGCCATCTCTACCCCTATATCGAATGAAGAGTATAATACTATCCTGTCCACCCCAAGAGTATGGTCGCGTTCACTTCACATCATAGACTTTACTTATTCATAACAACTCCAGCCTTCCACATGGACACCCATCAAGGAAACTCTTGAATCAGATCTACGAAACAAAAAAATTGATATCGCCGGAGTAGTATGCAGTATAACACCTGCTCGGCAAGTGGGGGCTGGTGGTGGTGAGTCTGAGCAACTCGATAGATTCCATCTCGGACTAATCAAGCCCACAGATTGGGGCATGATGGTATTTCTTCGGGATGAAACTTGTAGCGATAGCGAGTCTCTTGAAGTGAAACTGTACGCAACTGATAGAGCGCACCTTCCCCCTCTTCAAGACGAGTCTCATCGGGGCGCTATCCTCTTGATTCATGGATTGAAGGTAAATCTCACATAACCTTTTTTGTGACTAATGAATTGTCTAGGCTAGTATCGACAAACGAAGAAATAATTCGGCTGTAGGGTTCAAAGGTCAATGGACTTACGCTTGCTATTCCAACTCAAATGAAGCGTTTGTTGAATTTGGTGATGAAGCAACTCCTGAAATTAGGGGGCAGTATCGTCTACTAGTTCCCGATAACACTGCCCTGGCCGGGCTTCGTCGCCTCCACTACCTTTCTCGTATAGGATTTCAACAGTCAGAACAAGTTCCATCTCAGTATGTAGGTGGTTGTCAATTAATTGAGGAATTTCGAGATGGGGGATTCTATCACTGTGTTGTGGAGGTACGTCGTCTCTACCGATTTCTCCATTTGGCTTTACATTCGTGAATAAGGTTCTTCATATATGGGCCGATACTTATACGGATATCTATGTCACCGACTATACTTCGAATTCCTTCTTGACCGACC